GTACCTAACCAGATATTCGAATTGACGTAGATGGAAATGATGGAGGGGAGCAAGAGGTGAATAGTTTGAACATACAATCTTCTGAATGAAAGCTTTTCTACTGATCCACTTATATTTATTTATAACTTATTACAATAACGATAGATAATACTAACTTTTCTGTTCCAAAATAAAGTGGGACCCAGGGTTGATTATAGTTTTAAAGTTAGTAGTTGTCATATAGATATCTTTATTCATTATCTAGAACATTATTCTATTATAAATCTTCACATCGTTTTTGCTGGATATTCTTCATCATCTGATATCAACTAGGGGATAGTGCGGGAAGCACCCTTGATAAGCAATATATACTCATCATCCTAGCAGAGATCGAATTCAAGACTTTCAAGTCTCACAGGGAAGATTTAACTATCATAAATATTAGATCAATCAATCTAATAACTTCTTATTAAAACTTTAAGTAAATTTTAAAGTAATTCATTAGTGACAACAGATTAACATTCTTATCAAAAATCTATCATAAATATAACCCCGTTCAAAATTATTTTAACTGAATTCTAAATAAATAAAAAAAACAGTTGACTACATATTTAAGCCCTAAATTAAAATCCTGAAAGGAAGTGGAAAAGAGTCAGTCAGTCAGTCAGCTACAACGTAGGACCAAGCACATATATGCATCGGTCCAAGTTGCCATACCTCATTAACACAACAACATGAACACAAGATTCTTATAAGTAGTTAATTCAGTGGTGGTAATATATATAAGAAAGATTGCATATAAGAAAGAATTAGTTCTTAGAAAGCAAGATATGAAGTGATTTTAATATCATAGTTTAAGGGAAGACAGAGAGTGTATACACCTACGCCATTGTGATCGATTCTGAGCCATGTCACACAGTCTCCAACCATTGGTTACAATAGTCACACGGACCCCAACCAAGTAGTCTGCATCTCTCAACATGACTCAGACTAGAAGTTAGTAACTTCAAGTACTGATGCATTTTGGTTTGGGGAAACAAAGACATTAATGAGGAAGATTGTTGTATTTGTGAAAATCTCAGCTAATGAATTTCAAGTAGATCCACCGTTTCACCTGACAATCTGATAATTTCTTTTTGTTTGATTATATTTTCCTTGAAAAAGCTTGAACCAGATTGCCAGATGAAACGTTGAATCTATTTGAAATTCTTTCGCTGAGACTTTACATTCTTCCTCTTTAAAGAATACATTACGTTGGGAAATAGAAGTAGATATAAAAAAGCATAAATAACAACTGGCAAGAGCTAGAAAAGATTACCATGGACAGGGTTGGATGGAAAATGCTGGTGAGTGGTCTATGCTTCTTCATGAGGAGTAACAGGCGTAAATCAATCACTTAATCAATTTATTTATTTATATCCATCCATATATATCAATGTTTATGTTTACGTGAGTAGATGAGTAAATAAATAATTAGCTGATTGATTGATTGATTGATTGATTGATTAAATTCAATAATATCGATTATAAACTAAAATTCACTTAAGTATAATTTTAATTATTGAGATTGAAAAACAAAATTTAAATTTAAAAAAACACAACAACAACAGCAACATCAGAATCTACTTGATGAATGATGTAAGCGAGGAAGAAAAAAAATTTTTTTTATTTTTTAAATCAATAGGGTAAAAATGAAAATTAGTTGCTATGTTGTTTGTTTTTTCTTTAATGGGAATAAGGGAATAACATTAATGACTGAAGATGACTGACGACCACGATAATAAAAATAATGACAAAAAAGGAGGGGTGTTATTGTTTTTATTTTATGTGTGACTTTTCTATTTTAAAAAAAACGAAAAGAAAAATGGAAGGAGGGAATAAGATCTCCTCACCATTATCAATGGGAATATTGATTTTAATGTATCCAGATCAATAAATTATTGTATAAATAGAGAAAACAACTTGTGAATGAATGAATTGATTCAATTAAAAAATATATTCATATCAGAAGGGGTTTTGTGGATATTATAGTAAGTTCAATGGTTAAGATCATGAGTCAGTTGAAACTAGATCACCATGGAAAACCTAGAAGCATTGGAAGGCTGTTACATCCTATTGTAGGACTCCTCAGTGGTAGTGTGCATTCACGATACCGCCCCCCGCGATATTCGAAACCAGGGTCTATCGGTCTCTGGCGCGCGAACGCTTAACCTCTAAACTACTGAGCTAGCCGAAATCCAATGGTGTTAATGTCTAACTTCAACTAATCCATGAAATTGAACGACACATCCATGGTGGTTTAGCTTCAATTGACTCATGATCTCAATCATTGAAATTTAAAAAAAATATTCCTAGAAATTTTCATTTTCATTTTGAATAAAAACTGTCAAGTGGTTTTAGTATAATGGATTGGTGTATAGGATGTTCTTTTTTCAAACACCTCTAAGACAACCCTTCAGCGGTAAAGGCAATCAGGAAGTGATAATTGCCTTCATATCTTTAACACCATTCAAGATCGCTGTATCTATAACCATATTCAACTTTCAAGCATAAAGTTCCAGGTTCGAATGGTTTTCTGTTTAGTTCAAGTTTAGGCAATTGGATAGTAACATACTAGTGTATGATTTGTAGCCAAATACATAATTCTATATGATAAATGAATCCCTTATATATCGGTTTATCTTAAGTTTAGTCATCATTCATTATTTATTATGATTAATAATGATCAGTCTATCAAAATCTTAATTTATTTTCTATGGTAAAAATGTGAAATATGATCATTTAGATCAATTCAATTATTTGTTATACCCTAGAAAGATGATTTTTTTCCCAAACTCAAGTTTCACCTTTAAGCAAATATCTACAACAACGAAAATTTGATGGTTTTCCTTATTAGTTTTTGATGTTCACTCTGAGTTCGAGTCCCAGAGTGATACTATCTCAAGTAGGCCGAAAACCGTGTCCTAGATTTCACTTCTAACCATTATCCATATTTGCTTATAATGCTTGTGAATTAAGACAATATCGTGGCATACGCACAGTATGAACATCAATGGGAAGATTCAAATAAACTATACCAAGTGAATTTAAGATAAGTAATGATGGCGACTATGTTGCCAAGGTTGATAAATCATATGCTATCAAGCAGTCAGTCAATTAATCATAAGTAACGTAAAATCTAATACACAACTGGGACGGGCCAAGTTGTTGAGTTACATCTGCATTATGACATAAAATGATGAAGATGAAAACTCAGACAGTAATAGTTGCAGTTGAGGTATCAGTGATTATAAGAAAGATTAGATATAGAGATTGCGACTAGAGAAGAAAGATTTAACTTTTTGAATTTCAGGCTCATTGCAATGAATTTTAAGTCAAGTTACTCAGCATCTTCAACTACTAAATGCTGTTCTAGCGCAAGACCCAATCAGATAGTTTTCACTTACTAATATGTGTCGAACCATTGGTTAATGACCACATAAACTGATACCATGTGTTTAGTTTTGATCTCATTAGCTTTCTTCTAAGTTACTTCAGTTTCATTCTACACTGCAAATCGAGATAGGCGATGATTGAGTATAGGTGACCTGAATTTATCATATTTGGTCAACACTTTTGAGCTAACTTTAGTATTGCTCATTCTATAGTCTCAACATTATTCATCAATAAGATCAGTAACAAAGATTATAAAACTGTCAACAATTCTTCATTCATTCTTATTGACTATATTCAATCACTTGAAGTATTTTCTTCAAACAAATCAATGAAATCTTTATGTCAGTCAGTCATAATCAACATAGAATTCTCATATATAAATCTAGACAACATTAAATTAACTAGGTCGAAAGTGTTCATCCTGTTGAAAGTGTTCAATGATTGAACTGAAAAGTTGTCTAGAACACTTTGTTGTTTATTTTGTTTTTTGTGGTACTCTAAAATGACATGATGAATTTAATCTACTTATCATATTATTTCATGTTAGTTACAAAATGTCTTGACTACTATTTAATCATATTAGATGTGATTTAATTAATCATTAAAATACCTTGTTAACATAATAATAAACTATGCAATGACACTTATGATGATGATGACGATTATATTCATTGTAAGTATTACCTAATTGACATGTTAATTTCATCAACTAATCAAACAAAAAAAGAGCTGAATAGATTTCATTGAGAACAGTTATGCAAATGAGTTGAACATATATTGTTGTAAAAGTACAATGTTGTAGTATCTAGTTAAAATACCGGTAATTTTACATATATAAGTATAGAGTTTTATTCAGTGATCTCGAGGTTAGACATTCACAGGAGAGTTCTGAGATCCTGAGTTCGATTTCTTGCATTATAGAAGTTATTCAGAAGTCTCATCTTAAGATGAAACAGTTATCTAATGCTTTCTGGTTTCTAATATTGGTTTAACTAAGAGCTGTTCATAATTCGCTATAGACCCTCTGTATTCACTTTGTTAAATAAGAAATGATAAAGGTATAATTACCACTTTCCCTAATATTTGAAATCATCTGGTTCTGAAATAGAGCAAATGATTCCATTTTACTATCCCTATTTACAACTTTAATCTTCAGATGGTGGAGATTTGTAGCTCATGTGGATGATTTTGATGGAGTTTTGTTCTCTGAGCTGACACGAGCATACCATCCAGCTCAAAGAACAAAACTCCATCAAAATCATCCACCTGCCCATTAGGATGGAAAATAGCTGAGCAAAATGAGAGAAAAAAAATGGTACACCTAATGATAACGGATGCCTACTACAGGATCCGCAAATACCAACACGTCATAGAAGACCAAAATATGAAGCTACAAAGGACACTCACGTCAGAACACGACTAAACGATCCAGCTCAGAGAACAAAACTCCTTCAACAACTTTAATCTGATCTTCTTATCAAGATAATTAACTTGTCTACTATATTTATTCTCATAGAAAATATCAATCATTAAACTTAGATAAGTAATATTAAATTATATAAATACATATATACATATTAACTTACCATAAAACTATTCAATGGTCTTGGTATACTATCTTTTCTACGTTTCTTTTTTGATTCAGCTATTGTTGTATATGGACGTAATGCATTAGAACCAGTTAAACGTGATGCTCTATCACTAGGCCATTCAGTTGGTATTGCATGTTCATCTGTTAAATGTTGCATCCATACTTGTAAACCTCCAAGTTTTGCTGTAGAACATTGATCACAATCTTTCATCCACATAATTGTTTTCTTATTTTGTTACTATGTTCAATATATTATGTTTGTATAGATAGATAGATAGGTAGATTGTAATTGTTTATTCACTGAAAGCACAGTGGTAAATGATAAAGTGAATACAATATTTCTTGGAATGAATTGAAGATGATTCGAATATTTAAGTAATGATATTATACATTCGATATGGAATTAAATACATCTATATACATTTATATATATAAATGTATGTGAATATATGTTCGGTTCTCTTCCTTTTTGCTTCTGCTTCTTCTTCTTCTTCTTTCGTTATTTCTTGATTGAGTGACAAAAACCACTCAAGACTAGACGTTACACGTTAAAAAATGAGGAAATAATCGTGTGATTTGACAATTTATAGTTGACAGATTGGGAAGCCTAGAGGTAGAACATAGATAAACCAATGATATATTTTGTGCCCTAGAGCTGTGTGTTTATATATATGTATGTATGTAATGATATACATACATATGTATAAGTATGTGTGTGTGTCTATTTACAAATCACCTTGACACACACAACTCCTATGTGACTATTAACTGTTAATAATAGTAATATTATTAGACAGGGGTTAGATAGGTAGTTTATCTTCTATACTTTAATAGATACGTCTAGGAAAAAGATGATGATGAGTTCAGCTGAGACTAATATTTTTTGTGTTTTATTTTTATAGATTTATTTTTATGCCTATATACATATATTGAACACACGTGGCTTGCAATATGCTACCTGTATATATCTAGATATGTCTATAAAAGATATGTCTATCTATCTATCGATTAATTAAAGGGGAAAAATATATAATAAATCTTAATTTTACCATCAAAAATACAAGTCTCTTTCTTCCTCCCCCCCCACCTAAAATACACAACATTTAATCACGTATTTGTGAAAAAACCGGGAGAAAAAAATTAAAAAAATTTTTTTTTGCTTTTTCAAAATGAGCACGTCAACCACATATGCAATCAAAAAAATTTTTTTGTTGTATCAACTAATCACAAACGAGTAAAAGGAATTGGATAATATCAATCTGAAATCTGATTGGTTGATTCAATAATCATAAACATTTTTTTAAAAAAAAAGGGAGAGTGATGAAAAATTATTAATCCAATAAATATGTATCATTGAATGGTGGTGGTGGTGTAATTTGTAAAATTTATCAGAAACCAAACAAAAAAGGGATGACATTACCTATTCACCTTCTATCACTATTTATCTCTCTCTCTCTCTCTAATGCACACACACAGTTTTTTTGCTATAAAGAATTTTCGGTTAAATAATCGAGATCATTTATGTAAGAACAAGAGCCCCCAAATGCCCTGGTACGGTCGAGAGTGGGGAGAATTCGCTTTCCCTCTCCAAATGCTCTCATATGGCCATGCGTATATAACTTCCGCTAGGGAAGTCCTACTCACTGCCTTATTGTGGCGAGGGTGTTGTTTACGGAATTGAGAGGACAAAAAGCGAATGTCTGGCGCTTTAACTGGATCCCAAACCAATGGTGCACATGGGCTCCAGAATCCTGGGGGAACAAATGGTGTATGAACCAATCGTTGGTCACCGGCTACCATGGGAATGCATCTCCTCACGATGTTCCACTACCTTGTGGATCAGACCTTCAGGTCAAAGGCTCCGTTTGTGGTCTCCTAAGAAAACCACCTGTTTGGTTTGGGCACCCGGGTAGTATCACAGCCCTCATGCATATCAAATGAGATCTGTGTGGTGCATATGTATTTGGTGCCTCCATGTACCAATATCTATGTGTTAAAATAAATAAATAAATAATAAATATGTAAGATTCAATTATTTCGATATATATATATTTATCCGAGAAATCGGGAAAATGCTTTTATGTATATTATGTAATATAATGTATGTATATATATTTTAACGGCTGAGAGCATGAATTAATTGAAGATAGACCACCATGGAAAACTTGAAAGAATTAGACGGGCGTTTCGTTCCGTTGTGTGACTCCTCAGTCGCAATGCGCATCCAAGATCCTGCCCCGAGGAATTCGAACCCAGGACATATGGGTTTCGTGCTTGAACGTTTGACCTATAAACAACTGAGCTGGCCGGCACCAAACGGTGTTAATGTCTTACTTTAACCAATTTACGAAAATTGCGCCATCGTCCATCATTGTCTTCAGTGAGTGACTATCACGCAACAGATCCGGTTGAACTTCATTGGCCACGGCTTCTCAACGGAACTTCAGGAAATACCTCTTTAAGCCAGTCACTAGTGAGCATACGATGATGAATATGAGAAGGGATTTTGTGGAGATTTTAGTAATTTAATAGTTGAGATCATGAGTCAATTGAAGCTAGACCACTAGACCACTGAAAGCACTGGAAGGGCGTTTCGCCCTACTGTGAGACTCCTCAACAGTACGCAGCCATGATCCCGTATATATCTCTTGGTCAAATTATAGAATGATCCAGACTAGAAAATAGCTAAATTATAACGATAACCATCAGATATAACTGTCATCCAATTTTTCTAATATCGCATAAATCGAGAAGATAAAAATTAATAATAATAATTACTTCATGTTTACTGGTACATCAGTATAGGGTTGTGGAGATTGTTAAGTTTTAATTGTGATCATGAATGGATCAATGTTAGATCACCATTGAAAACTTGGAAACACTCGACCGTTGTTTCGTACTAGTATATGACTTCTCAAAAGTGCGTATAATGAGTTCAGTTACCAAATGACATTAAACCGTATTATAGGCTTTAATTATTTAGTCCATTATCTCATAAACCGTTTCGACTCATCAACAGTGCACATCCACGATCTTACCTCGCTAGGTTCGAACCCAGGATATATCTGTCTCACAAGCGAGCGCCTAACTTCTCTCTCTCTCTCTCTCTCTCTCTCTCTATATATATATATATATATATATATATATATATATATATATATATATATATATATATAATCTTCATCTGATTGTCTCGGCATTACCACCAAGTCAAACAAGCTAAGTTGGACATTGATTAATAACGGAATTTAGAATTCCATTTTGTTAATCTGATTAATGACAAACGTGATCATTAAAAAGCTTTTAGCATAAATTTGAAATGTCATTTAGAGTCAATCTATAAACAATTCCACCTTTAATCCAAGTTATGATTACATTAATAATGAATAAACAAATCCTAAACATCAGTCATGTGTAAATATTCAAGAGTTAGATATAAAACTTTTCAATATTTGTTTAATTGTATTCAACATTCTATCAGTGGATATTTTGTTATTGTGATAATCTATTCTGATCTTTTCCCATTGATTGTTTATTCTGGTTAGTGTTTTTTTTTCTGGCAAGGTTGTTTTCTACGAGATGAGGTCGCTAACCTAATACTCAACCTTTGTCTTTTACCCGGGCTTGGGACTGGTAGTAAATCTAGAAGAACTACAGTTGGAAGTCATCAAATTGCATCACGAATCAAGCCCTAATTTGAAATCCTGAAAGAAAACAGAAAAGAGCAAGTCCAAAGAACACATTGAGTCAATAATTGGAAGTGGACATGAAAAAGATGAATTACAACTGAAAACAACTGGAAAGGAATGTCAAGGATACAGTTTGATTTAGAATGCTGATTGATGGCCTATGCTCCTCCACCGAGGATTAACAGACGTAGGCAAGTAAGTAGTAGTCAGAATACCTCTTAACATTCTTTTGACTATTAGTAATTATTAAAACTTGTGATTTCTTATCAGCTATTCATTTAATTCTAAATCATTGATTAGTATTTGTTAATGTGTATATATCAGCAACTGATTATCTTTGCATAGATCACATTCAGTGAAAGCTTTTACATTTTATATCATTATAATTAACTTATTATAGTAACGTCGGGAATTGGAAACAAACATGAAAAGGATGAATAACAACTGAAAAGGATTTTCCAGGACAAGGTTGAATGGAGAGTACTGGTTGGTGGACTATGTTCTTCCACGAGGATTAACAGGGGTAAGTAAGTAATTCTAACAAATCAATTACAACTAAGTAAATCCTCATAATTATTACTACCATCTATATTATTAAAGACATTGATATTATTAATAAAATATGTATTGATTTAGATTTAAATAAATTAAAGAAAATATTATTACAAAGAGATGAAAGAACACAATAACCAATCAAGACTGAAGTCTACAGGATAATTTGATAGTCATATATGTAGAAATTCGAATACACTTCCCATCTACCTAAAGTTTATACTGATAATTGTCATTCAGAAGAATGATCAAAAAGTTCACAACAATCAAAACTATCCAGTTCATGGAACTAAACTTCATCGAATTCCGCGAGCGGGATCGTGAATGCGCACTGTTGAGGAGTCCCACAATAGGACGAAATGGCCGTCTAGTGCTTTTAGGTTTTTAATGGTAGTTTAACATCAATCGGTTGGTGATCTCAATCAAAAACTTAATAATCTCCACAACCCTATACTGATAATTACTATGTACTCACTAGTGACTAACTTCGTGAGGGAATTCCCAGAGTTCTAGCGAGAAGCTGTAACCAGTTGAGCTAATCCGTGTTGTATAGAAACAGGTATTTAACTCAGTACAATGGGAGATGGTTGCGCAATTTCGTGGATTGGTTGAGGTTAGACATTAACACTTTTGTAGGCCGACCTAGTCGTGTAGAGACTAAGTGTTTGCTCACGAGACCGAATGTTCTGGGTTCGAATCCCATGAGTGGGATCGTGAATGAGCACTGTTGAGGAGTCTCACAATAGGACAAAACGGCTATCCAATGCTTTCGCGTTTTCAATAGTGGTCAATTGTATATATTTTAAGATGATAAACATGTACGCATACAACCATCCGCCCCCATACACACAATACATTCAAAGACAACATTAATAACACTAATATAATCAATGAAATAACTTTTGAGTCTGGTATTTGGGCGTATCCACTTTCGAATAATCAAGCTTAGAATGAAGGAGATAATCATTAT